AATTAATAAAATCAATTTAAAAACATCTGGATTAATACAAAAAATAAAACATGTTCTATATTTTTACAGTCAGAAAATTTGTGAATAAATCTGATTGATTTACTCTATAAATGAACAGAAAAGAATATTGAAATCTATCCCACTATAGTAAATCATAAAGTGTCTTAACTAAGTGGGATTAAGTGTGTTTCAACAATACTTCAATACTTCAGAAAATACGTTAATAAATCTAGAAATTACAAAAGACTGTAATACTACTACTACTATTAATAGTGAGTATTAACAATAATACACTAGTATTTGTATTATTATTAATACTAAGCATATTTGGACAAAATATATATACTATAGAGAAGAATTTGACGAGATCGCATCAGATATAAGATATCGACAAAAAATCACACGAAATCTCTTGTCATCTGTCAACGGAATCTATAGTGTTTTCAGCTAAGGTATCTTAAATACTTTTGCCATGTAAACATATTGATTATGGAAATATTATGACCACACATACTTCACGGTCCCCTCAGCAGTTATTCAAACAAAAAACGTAACGACCTCATTACCACAAGGAACATATGCGAGACATTCCTTGTATTCAACACGGCCACGGACTATTTCCTTGGCGAATTTAAATTTGTAATTTCTCGACGTGTCTTCCTTTCGACCGCCATCGCCCAATAACGGTGGAACATTTATTAAAAAAAAAAACTCGACTCCACCCACCAACGGAAGCAGCTGCAGTCCTAATAATTACAAACATGGGTTCTTGAGCATTGGACAAAGCTATTGATAACTGGTTGTATCTAATATAATTTAATGTTTCTAAATATTAAAAAAGAAATTTAAAGTAAATGTTTGAAACGTAAATTAATATTATTAAAAAGATATATTTTACTTTCTGTTTGTAATAAAACTAAACTTATAAACATACTCAATTAATTTTTAAAGCCTGTAAAAAGGCCTATATTTGTCACAGTAAAGTATATATTTTAAAATATACAGGTAAAAGAAAATCTCTAAATTCTTCATAATTATTTTATTTTTATATAATCTAATAGCTATTTACTGTTTCCATGCAATTTCAGATTATCTCTACTGAACTACTAAATAGTTGACAGAATGTAAAAACTAATAATTGTTTCTTCAGTCATTAATAAGCAATACCGTGTAATATATCATATTAATCTCAAACATATTGCTTTGAACGAATAACATGTTTACTTAATATATATGTTAATTAAACTCTACTCTTTAAATTATTTCAATAAAATCTCAAGCCAATATATATTTTTCTTTTTGTATTCGATACAGAACGTGACATGCTTCTTAACCTCTGTGGTAATCTCAAGTGTAGGTATAAGAAATTAAGGCAATCATCAACCTTCAGATGACTCATTCCATATTTTAAATAATATAAAAATAGCAAACAAATATTACTTACTGTATATTTAGACTTAGATGAAGTAAGTATATATTATACTATATTTGTTTTATCAATATTAAAAAAATGTATAATATTTTTATTTATGTATATGTATGTATTTTTACTTTGATGAGAAAAAGAACATAATCTGAGCTGCTGTCACAATAACATATGCATTTTAAACTTACTATATGCCTTGTGGTCGGCTGGTAGAGAACGCTCTTTGGTGGCAAGTTCGCTATTGAAATATTATATATAAATGTACATTGTGCATTAAAATTAAATAAGCTAACAGACGGCTGTAACATTAACAAGACGTGTATCCATTGTGAATGCTAAGAACTGCCCTGAGAAATCGATCTTCTACTAGCAAGTATATTAGTGTATGCTTTCAAATTTACCTCTGTCGATGTCATAAATTCGTCATAATACAATTGGAGTATAACTAACAGCTTAAATTGACGATTCTTGAGAGAAATTGCAAGTGAAAGTTTGGCACTTATTTTAATGTAACTACATGCTTAAAATGTTTGACAAATAAAAACGAGTATTAACTTATTTACAAATAGCAACACAAATTAAATTATGAAGCATAGGAATCTATTAGAAAATATGAATCATCATCATCATCATCTCAGTCCGGAAGACGTTCACCGCTCAAAAAAGGCCTGCCCGAAAGATCTCCACGACGATCGTGGAGAGAGACCGTAGGTAGAGGTCACTCTCTTATTGTATTGTATGTTGTACTCTATTTTCCGCATTCAGCCTCTCAAGAATCTCAAGAAAATATGCGTGTATAAGACTCTAAAAGTAGCCAGCGAAGTCTTCTGATGTCTACACAGGCTTCATGGAGCCTCACCATTTCATGGTTTGTCTGCGTTATGTGGCCACAGCTGCGCACTCCAGGATTACATGAGCGGCCGTTTTTTCGGCTTCAAAGCGGCCTGGACAAAGACTATTGGACTATTAAGATGGACCTATTGTGTACAAGTGTTTATTTACGTTACAGTGTCCCGTTATTGTTCCTATGATTATTTTAAGGTTTATATAGGTTGAATAGATGTTCTGTTAATCGGTGTGAACTCTATCATAAGAATCATCCAAATTTTTTGACGACCGCGGTCGTCTAGCGATCTAGCACACCGCTTTGCGCGAGTGACCGATATACCGATGGTCGCGAGTTCGATTCCTCGCACGGCACAAGCATTTGTATTCATGAGTATGATTGTTTGTATTGGTCTGGGTGTTTTCTACGTATATTATGTATGTATTTACGAAAAAAAAATATCTATGTATTTGTATCAGTTATCTATTACCCGTAACACAAGCTTTAGCTAGCTTAACTTGGGTCTAGATGGCGCTGTGTGAATTGTCCTGAAATTATTATTATTATTATTAAATTCATTTAATTTTGGAAAGTACTTACGTCGAATGATAACAAAGAAATCCTGCTAAATTAGAAATATCTAGAAATAACTAGACCAAATTTATTAGTAATTTGAAAATGATTATAGTTGTAGTAAAAACAAAATAATTAAAAAATACCTGCAATAAAGTTAATATTTATTTTTTCTCTAAATATCAATTAATATTAATATATTTATTACTGTTTCCAATATTCTATGTAAATCTGCTTGTTTATACAAATAAAGCTATATAGGAACATTTTATTATGACATCCCAAACCACCGCGTCCTACGCAGAATTATGGTCGATTATTTAAACATTTCATTAGCCTCTATTTTGAACTTTTACGATTTAATATAGCTGAGGGCAATCACGCTTATAACTCTACAGCCATTATTAGCCGACCAATCATCCATTGTTTATTTAGAACAAGAAGTCGAAACATATTCCTCAGCACGATCTGTTTCATATAACTAAACACCAATACTAATGTTGCAAAACTTTTAAAAATATAATTTTATTACGGCATTCTCATAAGAGCTGCCATCAACACTTTCATAATAAACCTGTCCTGGGACCGATAACATCACAATATCTACTTCACCAAAAGCTAAAAGGCCGTTTATTGGGACATAAACGTTTATAGAATCATAAACCAGAACCAATCTATTGTTTCCACTCTACCTACGCGCTTCAACGACATAACTAATCGAACGATTCCGCTTTTTGTCTCAGCGTGGCACATAATCAATTGTCACCTCGACTTTGGTTATTTCCCATCTAATCCAAGATGTTTCAGATCCATTTAGAACGGGTTTGAAATAGCTTGACGACAATAAACGATCGGGTATCGTATTGCACGGGGAAAAAAGGTGATGAGTGTTCGGCTTTAGGCTGTGTTGGCGCAAACAGATGACCCCTGTACTCGTGACATGGGCCACTTGATAGCCACAATTTAGTAAATAAATATATTCAATAATCGAATTCAGCTGGATAGTATTTCATGATTAATTTTGATTGAGTTGTTAGCCGTCATCGACACCTTTGGTAACTGATAGACATGACTATAGATTTAGATGTGTGCTGATAATGAATAATATAGATAGGGGTGTTGTTTTACATTTAGATTTTTGTATGTAATTTCTATAGCATTAACTTCGATTATTGGACTATATTATTTACCTATATATTTACCACATAGATACAATAATTATCAGTCATCTTTACTGGAAATGAAGGTTAAAATTAAATAATTATAAAAGGTTATGAAATTGATTCACGTAATAACAAATGAAATTAAATCTCTTAATTTAAAATGTACAGTTGAAGTATAATTAAAAAATAATATATTTCTCAACTCAGCTTATAAATATGTATGTATATGTTTTTTATTCAAACTGCGTATTTTTCATCTAGTGTGAGAGTAAAATACTAATCTGCTAAAATAGACATTCGGTATTTTCAATATGTTAAAATTTGGCAAATTTAAAGACTTTTTAAATTAACTTGTTTACAGAAGATAATTGTGCCACTCATGTGCAACTTTTCTTAAATACTGTGATAATACAGTGCAATAAGAAATCAATTAAAATGCTGTTTATTCATTCCCAGTCCGGTCAAAAGATGATTTATAGTTTCGCAGCGGGTAATCGGCGCGCGCGCACTGTCGCGGACGCTTTTTAAATTAATATCGTATGCCGCGCTCCGGATGATCTTATCCAAGTCGATCAATTTAGATAAAATAAATATTTATACATTCGGCTGGGTATGGCTGAACAATGCGATTCGGTAAATTGATTATGTCAATGAAAAACTTAACGCTCGCCCCTTTTCAATCACCTGCTCTGATCCTAGATACAGAATTTTAATGAACAAATATTTATGTATTCATTATTAAACTGAATTTAAAAGCAAGAACTACGAAATATGTTCATCAATAGATATTAAAATTATTGTTATTATTCTGTTTTCAATAAAATCTATAATTTTTTAAATAGGTGACCGTAGGCGAAATTTACTAAATATCAAGCAATTGAAATTTCATACTTTTATTCAAATGACTTTAGGATTGCCCAATAAAATTAATTAACCATATGTCATTCTATTTTTCTACAAAAGGATATCCTAGTATATTTGTGATAATAAAAAACTTCATATTAGTCAAAAATATTAATTTATTCATACTCTTGGAAGCGTAATAAATACGAATTTGTTCATGTTCTAGCTAAAAATTACATCACAAAATTATGTTCACTTAAAGTTACAGTATTTACAATTGACTAGGGTACATTTCAGTTCTTCAAAACTATTTTACATTTTGTACAAATATATATATATGTATACATACCTACACGACTCTTTCACACCAAAGCATACTATTAAATATAAGTACCTAACATTATCACAAATAAGTCATATGCTTTTTATCTAACTTACAACTTCAACCAGGAACTTTAAATATTACATCGGTGAAATAAAAATGTATCTGAGGCGTTACAAATATATAAAGGAGGGAATGTACACGAAACTATTTACAACAAAATCAATAAAGTTGATTACTGAAGACAGGTACAATAAATTCTTTAAACGAAAGTTTTATTTTCTAATAAGTACTTAGAGTACTTACAAGAAACTAAAATTTAACTTTAGTTAAGAACTATAATTTATATGCTTTTTAGTCTGATATTTATCATTATTTTTACATACATACATATATCAAACAGCACCAACTACATAATAACAAAAGCGTTTGTATGAAATTATATAAATATAGTTGCTTTATATTTTCACTTACATTCTGTAATTACATTCTCATTTACACTTAAAAAGTACAGATCACATGTTTATTAAATTTTATTTTATACAAAGTAAGTCTTTCTCATATTATTAGGCCTTGCACTAGACATGGGAATTTGTTGCGGCGGCCTTAATGGCCTCTCTTCACATTGATGATTGTCTATGGAAACGTAGCTATGATGATGCGGAAGTCGGTCATCAGGACGACCTTCACTACTCGCGACAGAACATGTCTCATCCTCAGTACTTCTAGCCGATACCTCTGCACTCGCGCTAGTCGAATGCATGGGGCTCGACATCATTAGAATAGGTGGTGACATGCCATACTTATACCAAGGATCGTGAGATGTTGGGGGTGCCGTATATCTCGAATTCCCATGCCTACTAAAGCCATCTCTATTACTACTTTTTATGTTATTCGCATTGTGAAGCGTCCGATTCGGTAATGTCACGTCCACATCCGGTAAACGAAAATTTAGCTTTTCCCAACAATTTTTCTCACCCCACACAATCACTGTACACGTTTTAAGTAACCGTTTTAGGTCGGGATCTATATTTATGGCACTTAAGTCAGTAATAACAAGGAATATAATTTTTTGACGCATATGCCTAACGTTCACTGAGTTAATAGCACTTTGTACGGCGGCTTTAGACTCTGGCACATACCACTCATGTTGTAAGAAGTTTATTGATAACACTATAACTAGTCTCTTTGAACTTTCCGCGGCACTGATCAAACTGTCTCCAGATCGTCCTTCAATCAATTGCATGTCTCTATGTTGTAAACATAGAGAATGACCCAAGTTTTCTAACTCCGAGCTTACAGCGCGATTCACAAAATCCTCATCTCGTGAGTTATATATGAAAAATGCATCAAATCGTTTATTTTTATTATCATTCATGTCTTTTGAAGTGGAACTAAATACTCTGATACCGTGCTTTGAATGCATCCATAATTTAAAATCTTCTCTGAACATGAACAGCAAAGCGCACATAAGAAGAAGTATAATTACTATTATCAAAACCGCTGAGATATATGGTATATAATTTTCGACACCGTCATTCGGTTCGATGAATTTTCGTTTTAGAGTTTCGGTCCCTGTTTCTTCAGTAGTGGACTCTGCTTTACATTCCTTTGCTACTGTCGCAATAGTTTTATTCATCGGCAGACCATGAGCAAAGTAGCACATCATGGTTTCAGTATCTTTTGATTTTTTTATGAGCCATTGATTCAGCTGAGCTACATTTTTACAATCGCATATCCAGTTGTTCCCATCTACAGAGACACGTGTACGAGGATTGTTGTCTGTAATAACTCTCCACGGCATAAAATCAACGTAACCATTGTTGTCAAGGTCTAAGTACTCCAGTGACGGCAAGTAATTAAAAGTATCATTTTCTATTACTTTTATTTTGTTCTCTCTTAAATAAAGCTCAATTAAATTCTGAAGCTTCGTAAATTGTGTGTTCCTAAGTACTTCCAATTTATTATTTTCTAAATGAAGAATTCTGAGTGATTCGATCCCGTTAAATGTTCTATTTTGTATTGTATTGATATTGCTGTTATTTAGATACAATACTTGTAACCGTTTTTTACCAATAAAAACGTGATTTCCTAATTCTTTTAGATCGTTTCCATCCAAGTATATTTCGGTCGCATCCATCGGTATTCGCTCCGGTACGTGATCATAACCGGCATTTGAACAATCAACCACATTGGAGTTCCAGGTAAGATCATGATAACACGAACAATTATCTGGACAAGTCATCTTACAATCACATGCGTCAAAGTCACAACAATGGCACAGGGTGAAACAATGCGAATCGTAACGGCATAAGAATTCTGAAGATTTGACTTCAAGTAGTAAAGTATCAGATTTTGTTCTTGAATGCGTTAAAGAGCACCTTACACTTTCTAAATCCATTACTCTCGGGCGCTGTCTGAGGTCACTTAATTGGTTAATTCTCTGCAGCCATTCCATTGTGCAGTCGCACACAAATGGGTTTTCGCTGACATAGAACTCTGGTAAATCTTTCTCCTCGGGAACAGTTGATATCGCAAAACTACCAGCTTCTAAAGTTTTAATCTTATTTGAATATAGCATTACTTTGTTGAGATTATATTTCTGTAAAAATGTACCGGGGTTTATTTTTTCAATATAATTGTTATTCAATACCACTGTTTCTATACTGCTTGGAAATGAAAATTCGTCAATACTCTTAATTTTATTATAACTGACGTCAAGCATTTTTAAATTACAGGATTCTTTTAAATTATATGTATCTTCAAGCTTTTCTATTTTATTTTCATGCATATCTAGCCATTCTAAATTGGTCGGTATATGACTATAGTCAAACCACAATAATTCATTATTGGATACATTTAACCAAACAAGTGACTGTTGATTTGTAAATATTCCTTTTAAATCCACCAGTTTATTACCATCCAATCCAATTGCTTTTAACTGTTGATTGGATGAAAAAGCACCATCGTCTATTTGATCTATATTATTTGATGCTAAATTTAATATTTGCAGTGACGGTAAAGTTATAAATGTATCCTTAGATACTTTTTCTAGTTTATTTCCAACAAGTCGTAAACCGTATAAATCATCTAACCCTTCAAATTGAGTAGTTGATACTTTTGTTATTCTATTCATACCTAAATCTAGGGATGTTAAAAATCTTAATGTCTTTATGGCCTCCGGTACCTCCGATAACTGGTTTCCACTGAGTCCCAAATCGTGCAATTTTGTAATATTTTCAAAGGATCGCAAGTCTACTTTTGTTATTCTATTGCCATCAAGGAATAATTGATTTAGTACATATAAATTTGAAAAATGACTACTATCTACTTCAATAATATTGTTATGAGCCAATGAAAGTGAATGCAAATTTTTCAAATTGGTAAATGCACCATCTGCTATACGTGATACGTGATTGTATTCTAAACTTAAAAATTGCAAATTATTCAAATCTTGAAATAATAAAGCATCTATTTTTGTTATTCTGTTGTGCGATAAATTTAAAACTATGAGTCGTACAAGACCAGAAAATGTATCTCTATTAATCCATTCGCTGGTTAATTCATTTACAGATAAATCTAATATTTGTAGTTGATCTAATCCTTCCAGAAGAGTTGGTGCAAGAACACTTAAAGAGTTATTGTTCAGGTATATTTGCTTAATATCTCTCGATGATTGAAACATTTCTGGTGGAAGGGCAGTTAAAGCATTAGTAGATAAGTTGAGAATTTGTAAATCACTTAATCCAACGAATGCTCTATCAGCGACGGACAATATTCTGTTATTTTGTAAAAATAATTTTTGTAATGCTCGTAAACTTGACAAGCCATTGTCAGGCAGTGAACTAATTTCATTGTATGACATATCTAATGTTTCTAGTACAGTATTGCAAGACTTCCCGGGTGCAGTGGGTCCATTGCCCCAATCAGAAAATCCTAAAGTAGAAATATCTTGTATTCGGTTTTGAGTTACATTTAGATCCTTTAAATTATACAAAGGACAAAATATTTCGGAAGGTAAAATCCATATGTTATTATCGCCCAAGTCCAAAATTCTCAAGTCGGTCAGTCCTCGGAATGTGTCTCTATGAAATTCCATAGACATTGCAGACCAGTCAGTATTATGAGTACGAATACTAAGACTTCGTAGACCGCTAAGCGGTGATAAAACAGCTGAAGGTACGTATCTGATCTTACATGACTCTATTCTCAATTCCTTTAAATTATGAAAACGAGACAACAGTTCTGTGCCTTCCTCTTTTCTTCTGCCGACATCCAAAGAACTCTCAAAGAAGAGAACGTCTGTGCAAAGAAGGTCAAGTGACGTGATTCGTTGTGCCTGAGAAGTGCTAAGTCCCGCAAGCAAGTCGGTAGCACCGGCAGCCGTACGCAGCGAGCAAGTCAGCTGTACTCGAGTGGGCTCACCGGCGCCACCTGAGACTCGCTGCCACTCGCACTCCTGCGGAGCCTCTGCCACACGGCTCGTCAATGACGCCCCGCCGGCACTCGAACATATCCAGCACCACACCGCATACCATATAGCCAAAAATCCCATTGAAAACATCTCGATTAATTCACTTTTAAACTGTCACTGTATTTAAATCGTCACTATTGGGTTCGCTATTATCGCGTTCATTGCTACGCCAATCCGGGCGCTCTCGGAAAACTTCACGATTTTCCCGTCAAACTTGTTTCGAAGTACGATGCATAACGGCTCGAGCGCGAAAAGTTGCAGCGGAAAAAACGCTACACCCGAGCGCGGCTGAGATGCGACTGACTGAGTGACGATGAAGCAAGCAAGTTGAGCGACCGGCCGGCGATGGCACGCTCCCCGCGCACGTTTGCTCCTCCCCAGATAGAGAGGTCCGATATAGACATCACTTTTCTTACAAAAGTTCACAACGGCAACAAGTTGCTTGGCACAAGATTGGCATGAACAGGAGCGCGCTTTGCGAGCTTTTATAAACATGGCGGTGGTTACTTTGTTTGTTTTGCTTAATCATAAAATTTCAATGGCGTCTATAGAGAAAAGCGTGTGAACAATACGTAGAAATCTATGTTTTGTAATAAAATATATAGATAACGATTAGATTACCACATAACCTGTTCTAACATGATTATTTATTGAATTTTATTAAAATGTTGAATAAGGTAAATGGATAAGTACAACAAAAAAAATTAAATCACACATTACTCATATGTGTTATTTAAGTTTTGTTACAAGAGTATAATTATAAAATAATAAATTATTACCTAATCATCTATATTGCATTCATATAATTTATGATATTGTAGGACTCAATAGTCATCCTATTCAAATGTAGGGAGATTTTTGAAATATACTAATTAAATCAAAATAAATACTAGATTTTTTAATTTCACATCTGACTAAATCCAGAATTTACTTAACAGATTATAATGGTAATTTCGTTTATTATTAAAATTAACCGATAATATATATCGGTTAATTAAATATTTCTATTACAGAAACAAATACTTTCACAAAACTTTCTATAATATAAAAATATGTATAATATTTTATTAATATTTCTCATTATAGGTAATATTAAGAAATATCAATAAAATATTATACATATTTTTATATTCAACATTGACTTTGGAAATTATTAATAAAGTTAATGGTTATATAGACATTCCTAACCAAGCATGAAACCATTAAATTTTACCTGAAAATCTAAAAAATGTATCATTAATTTTTCAGGTACACAAAAGATAATTTGTTCCACACCTAATTATCGTTTGTGTACAATAGTTATGATAAATTCCGGATGTGCATTACAAAGCTACTTACAAATACTTTGCTAATCTTGTACTTTACTTCCACATTACCTGTATTTCTTTGGGATGTAGCATTTGACGTACGTGCGATAACGTTATCACTTTATCGTATTACTCAGTTCATAGTGTTATGACATCATGCCAAAAATAATATATGACGAACATAAAAAAACTAGAAAGACTTTGTACAAAGTCGTCTGTTTGAGTAGGTACCTCTATCTCGCCTATTTTTAAGATGTGTTGTTTTAAGATATGGCATTACATATACAGGATATAATATTCTTAGCAATCTCGCAACGAATAAAATACTACATGTGTCAAATAACGACATATAATATTATGTCTATAGTACAGCTATATATATATATATATATAGGTACTGTATTAGGTAAAGACCGAGTTTCTTACACTCTCATTAAAAATGTAAATGTATAAGATAGTAAAAAAAAATATATTTCCATTATTAAAAATGAAGAGTATTGAACAGAGATTATTTCTGTTCAGAATTATGTGGTACATACATTTATGTTCTGTATGAGAATCTGCTTTGTATATTATACTATATCTTATTTGGCAGTAGTATTACTGGGTACAGAGACATTAATAATTAGGTCTAAGTTGACTTCAGGAATCAGGATTTATTATATAATTATGATATGTGTCGTAGTTTTCACATCTGTAGAGAGCATTTACCACTTTCCATCAGTTTGTTTACCATTGTACAAAAAATATGCTATATATATTTGTAATAAAACCACAGGCATAATACAAAAGTATGGATTTAATTATCAACATATTAAATAATATGGAGTAAATAACAAGTTAATATTAGAGTATTTCAGGCGCATATACTTAACTAATTATATGATTAACTAATGGATAACTCGTAAATGTCATTACTACATTTTGTAAGTACATAATACATAGAAAAGATACAGCACATATCTATAATAATTAGCATATATTTCAGTCAATATTTTATTTTAATTAACAGTATTTTACAATTTCTACAAATATTACTTATAAATATACTTTTAAATACTTAAATTTTATACAATACACTAAGATACTCTTTCCTTTGAAAACATAATGTTATGTACTATATATTATTAAAGATTCATCTGGTCTCGTCAATAAAAAATACTAAACTACATTTACAGAAACAACACTTTTGAGATCGTATTTTTCAGTGAATGTATTGTAATCATATATCTTATAACAAGTACGTAATTATAAAGGATTTTAATACTATTTTATTTAACCAATACCACTCTTTCGATAAAGATATGCAAATAATTTATAATATAATAAATAAGTAAATGGAATTAAAAATGAATGAGTCCGGACATTTAATATTTGAGGAATATTAAAACGGAAACGAAAGTGTATAATGTTGTAAATGGTTTATACTCAATTATGATGATAAGCAACATGCTACAGAAAGTTGAGCTATTGAGAAAAAACAATAATATGTACTCAATATGTACTCTTGTATGGAAATAAGCACTACGGTGTATATATCGTAGAAGTATGAAAGTAAGATTAACAGTATAGAAATGGGAGATATATGTGAAACAACTGAATAAAAATAGCATAATTAGACAGACAACAAGACTAATAGGAAGGAAATGTCGATGGTAAAAGATGTATATAAAAGGATATTAATAAAACATATTCATATCCTGAAAGAATAAATGTGTCAGCACTAGGCGCTGTATCGTCATCACGAAAAAGGCAGCGTGGTTAAAACAGTCTGAAAATTACTACTCGTATACTACGAAAATTTATGAAATAAATGCATTTATAAGAGCTAAAACCAATGTCCATGAATTTGGCTAGTGACAAGTAGGATTTGTGAGAAACAAAATATTATCTCTACGATTACCTTATAATAAATAATTCCTTATTAATACAATATTTTTCAAATAGGCTTTGCTTTAACTTTAGAGATATGAAAAAATGTTATGACAGCTGACATAGCAAACACGAAGAGGTCACATTCACATATTGACTTTTTTCTTATAGACTTCTATTTTCGATCATCGAATGGTATTCAGCAGTAGCATTAGTTTTGTTGTAATGAAATTCTTCATTTGCGCTGATTTCAGGCTGTCTCATATTTGCTTTACGCTTTCTTTTTCTATAAATTAGTATTAATTTTCTAATTACAAAAATTACACATACAAATACAGGCAAAATAGCGATAATTAAAATTAGGAGGACCCAGTTTGGAATTTCGGTACTAGATTGTTTGTCACATTCCTTTGCTACGGTCGCAATAGTTTTATTTAGCGGTTGCCCGTGGTCAAAGAAGCACATTAAGGTTTCGGTATCTTTTGACTTTTTTATTAGCCATTGGTTCAGTTGAACTACGTTTGTACAATCACAAATCCAGTTGATCCCATTTACAGAGACACGTGTGCGATTATTGTTATCTGTAATTATTCTCCACGGTATGTAATCAACGTATCTATTGTTGTCTAGGTCCAAGTATTCTAGCAAGGGCGAATAATTAAAAGTATTATTTTCTATTAGTTTTATTTTGTTATCCCTTAAATACAGCTCGATTAAATTCGGAAGTTTCGTAAATTGTGTGTTCCTAAGTACTTCCAACATGTTATTATCTAAATGAAGAATTTTAAGCGATTCGATACCGTTAAATGTTCTATTATTTATTGTATTGATGTTGCTATTATTTAAATACAAGACTTGTAACCGTCTTTTACCAATAAAAATGTCATTTCCTAATTCTTTTAGATAATTTCCATCCAAGTATATTTTCGTTACATCCATTGGTATTCGTTCCGGTACATAATTGTAACTGGCATTTGAACAATCAACTACATTGGAGTTCCAGGTAAGATCGTGATAACACGAGCAATTATCTGGACAAATTCTCTCACAATCACAAACAATGAAGTCACAACATTCGCAATCACTGGAACAATACGAATCGTAGGAATACAAACATTCAGTAGATTTGAAATTAAATAAATAAATATCAGATTCTGAATGCAATAAAGAACATCTTACACTTTCTAAATCTATTACTCTAGGAAGCTGTCGATCACTTAATTGGTTAATTGTTTGCAGCCATTTCATTGTGCAGTCGCAAACAAATGGGTTTTCGCTGACATAGAACTCTGGTAAATCTTTATCCTTGGAAACAGTTGATATCGCAAAACTACCAGTCTGTAAAGTTTTCATTTTATTTGAATATAGCATAACTTTACTGAGATTATATTTCTGTAAAAATGTACCGGGGTTTATTTTTTCAATATAATTGTTATTCAATACCACTGTTTCTATACTGCTTGGAAATGAAAATTCATCAATACTCTTAATTTTGTTATAACTTACGTTCAACATTTTTATATTACAGTATTTTTTAAAGCTATAAGCATCTGCAATTGTTTCTATATTATTTCCATTCATATCTAACCATTCTAAATTGGTCGGTATATAACTATAGTCAAAACATAACAATTTATTATTGGATACATTTAACCAAATAAGTGACTGCTGATTTGTAAATATCCCTTTTAAATCTATCAGCTTGTTGCCGTCCAATCTAATTTCTTTTAATTGTTTATTTGATAAAAAAGCACCGTCGTCTATTTGATCTATATTATTCGATGCTAAATTTAATATTTGTAATGAAGGCAAAGTTACAAATGTATCGTTAGATATGTTTTCTATTTTATTTCCAGCAAGTTGTAATCTGTATAAATCATCTAAACTCTTAAAGTTAGAAGTTGATACTTTCGTTATTCTGTTCATACTTAAGTCTAGATATATTAAGAATCTTAACGTCTTTATAGCTTCCGGTACCTCCGATAAATGGTTTCCACTAAGTCCCAAATCATGAAGTTTTGTAATATTTTCAAAAGAGCGTAAATCTATTTTAGTTATTCTATTGCCGTCAAGTAATAACTGATTTAGTACATATAAATTTGCGAAATCACTACTATTTACTTTAGTAATATTGTTATGTGCTAATGACAGTAAATATAAGTTTCTCAAATTTGAAAATACGCCATCTACTAAGTGTGATATGTAGTTGTATTCTAAATTTAAATATTGCAAACTATTCAAATCATGAAATAATAATGCATCAATTTTTGTTATACTGTTGTGAGATAAATTCAGTACTATCAGTCGTACAAGACCAGAAAATGTGTCTGCATTAATCCATTCGCTAGTTAACTGATTTACAGATAAATCTAATGTATGTAGTTGATCTAATCCCTCAAAAAGTGTTGGTGCGAGAACACTCAACCAGTTTTTATTCAAGTGTATTTGTTTAATATCTCTAGAAGATTGAAACATTTCAGGTGGAAGGGTAGTTAAAGCATTTGTAGATAAGTTGAGAATTTGTAAATTGTTCAATCCAACAAATGCTCGATTAGCAATAGTCAATATTCTGTTATTTTGTAAAAGTAATTTTTGCAATGCTCGTAAACTTGACAAACCGTTATCAGGCAGTGAACTAATTTCATTGTGTGACATATCTAATGTTTCTAATACAGTATTGCAAGATTTTCCGGGTGCAGTTGGTCCACCTCCCCAATCAGAAAATCCTAAAGTTGAAATTTCTTGTAATCGGTTGTGAGTAACGCTTAGATCCTTTAAATTAACCAAAGGACAAAATATTTCGGAAGGCAGTGTGAAAATATTATTATCGGCCATGTCCAAAATTCTCAAGTCTGTAAGTCCTCGGAATGCATCTCTATGAAATTCCATAAATATCGCAGACCAATCAGTATTATGAGTTCGAATACTAATACTACGTAGACCGCTTAGCGGCGATAATACATCTGAGGGTACGTATCGGATTTTACATGACTCTATCCACAATTCTTTTAAATTATGAAAATGGGATAAGACTTCAGTACCTTCCTCTTTTCTTCTGCCAATATCTAAAGAACTCTCCAAGAAGATAATGTCCGTGCAATGTAGGTAAAGTGAAGTGATCTGTTGTGCTTGAGAAATACTAAGTTTCGCAAGCAAATCGGTAGCACCAGCAGCTGTATGTAGCGAACAATTAAGCTGTACTCGAGTGTCTTCACCGAAGCTATCTGCGACATGGTGCCACTCGCACTTCTGCGGAACCTCCACCACTCGGTTTTGTAATGACGCCTCCTCGGCGCTGGAATGTATCCAGCACAACATCAAAGCAAAAAAAATCTTTAAAAACATCTTGTTTAACTCACTATTAAACTTTCACTGTAGTTAGTCATTACTATTCAATTCACTTTTATCATGTTCATCGCATGTAACACAATTCGAAAATGTACAATTTTCACACCAAACTTATTTATAAATACAACACATATCAATACAGCTCTTTGAGAGCTACAGCAATCGACTGCTTAGTTATCGTCAGTATCACCTTATCAGTTGGCAATTTATTTAAAATAAAATAAATATCCTCAAACAATATAGATTACTACTACATATAATAAAATCACTAACTTAATATGTAGCAAAAATTAAAGACCTATACGAATACACCAAACAAGGTACAACTTAAATAATATTTAAAATATATTATACATGTTATTTCAATTAGGAAAAATTTGCATTCATATTATGCCTCTTATCCTATAATTTTACTGTCCAATCAGACCCTACAACAGAAACACAGCTTATAATCCAAGCTGCTTGGGGGTTTAAGTAGAAGAGCTTAAATAGGGAGTGAGACTGAGGTACGCACACAGACAACTTTTTGCAGTCTACCTCCTGAATTATTGTAAACAATTATTTTTCATTATATACGTATTTCACAAAACAAAGCAAATAAGAAACAAGTAAAATTTTCTCTCAGAAAATATTAAATGAAACATATATATATATATATATATATATATATATAAATATCCCCTTGGGCACTTTGTGGCTCAGACGTGCCGTATAGGTAGTTTTTTGTTGATCCTTTTTCACTTGTTGATCCGGAGGCCTTTTGTTGATCTAATGCCAGATGACCATATATAAATGTTGATCCGTTTTGAGCCACAACTGTCACGACGAGTAATAATAATAATTAAGCGATTTATACACGATTTTATACAAATCCACCTTTTTGGCATACGAGCAGTTCTTGATCCAATTCAAACGGGCCAATCAGGGTGCAGCATTTGCCAAGGGCTTCCTCATTGGCACGTTTGGGCTACTACATTATGGCTACAGTAACTTAATAATGTCTAGCTAGTATTTCAAAAATAATAGTCTACCTAATCTAAATATTTATAGAAATCAGTCTGGAGTAACGTGACTCCAGATCAAACCTCAATACTTGTTATTTTTTGGACGGGAATTTTTCCTTTTGTAACAACGTTACTGAGCAAATGAAGAGAAGACGTAACGGCGGATCCAGGGGGGAGCGTCATGGAGGTCTTGGGAGTCATGGGGGGTCATGACTCTCCCCCCCTTAGCCCAGGACTTAGGTAGACCACTAATTGAACTAAAAAATAATGAAACAGCAAATTTTTTTGCACGATCGGAGTGTTGGTGCAGTAGTATTAATTATAATTAAACATTGTTACTTAAAACATAACAGTTAAAGTACTATAACACTAAAAGCAAAATAAGTATTTTCAAAATACTTTTTCAAAATAAATTACCCTTTGAGTTTTTGTTCAAACCTCAGATATTATATTTATTTTAGGTATATCAATCAATACATAGTATAGCATAGTACAGTCTGTCTGTCTGTCTGTTTGTTGCGGCTAATCTCTGAAATAGCTGGACCGATTTTGACGGGACTTTTTTTGGCAAGTAGCTGATGTAATAAGGAGTAACTTACGCTACTGTTATTTTAGAAAAATAAAATAAAATTTCACGCGGACGAAGTCGCTGGGGCCAGCTAGTCTATAGATATACAGAGATTTAATGTTTAAGTTGCTATTATGTTATTGACAAAATTTTACTGTAATGTTACTATTACGTTATCCTACACAATTTGTATTATTTTGGATGAATAAATAAATAAATAAATAAATAATAATCTATACATCTATACATTTAATAAAAATTGGAGTGTCTGTTTGTAATATTGAAAAAACCGTTTTTTACTACATGCATATGAATATATATAAGGTACATATACCAAAATAACTATTTTTATAATTTTAGTCTGTCTGTCTGTCTGTCTGTTTGTTCCGGCTAATCTCTGAAATGGCTGGACCGATTTTGACGGTACTTTTTTTTGGCAGGTAGCTGATTTATAAGGAGTAACTTAGGTTACTTTTATTTTAGAAAAATAAAGTTAAATTCCACGCGGACGAAGTCGCGGGAACACCTTGTTTTTAATAAAAACATCTTTTTTGTGGTACTTGAGAATGTTGAAGCCTGTTGTTTGTAATATTGAAATAACCGTTGTTTACTACTTGCATATGAATATAAATACGGTACATACACCAAAATAACATATTTTACAATTTTTGTCTGTCTGTCTGTTTGTTCCGGCTAATCTCTGAAATGGCTGGACCGATTTTGACGGGACTTTTTTTGGCAGGTAGCTGATGTAATAAGGAGTAACTTAGCCTACTTTTATTTTAGAAAAATAAAGTTAAAAACCACGTGGACGAAGTCGCGGGAACAGCTAGTGTATAATATATTAGAGATACCTACGTGTTTTTTTATTGATGACTAGCTGTACACGGGATTTCGTCCGTGTTGAATTTAACTTTATTTTTCTAAAATATAAGAAGTTAATTTCCACGCGGACGAAGTCGCGTGTACAGCTAGTTGTCGGTAGTCTAGCGATTTATCTAGCACACCGCTTTGATTCCTGCTTGTTGGTCGAGGGTTCGATTCCTCGCACGCTGCAAACATTTGTATTCATGAGTATGATTGTTTGTAACGGTCTGGGTGTTTTCTATGTATAGATAATATATATGTATTTACGAAAAAAAATCTTTGTATTTATATCAGTACCCATAACATAATCTTCAGCTAGCTTAACTTTGGTCTAGATGAAGCTGTATGAATTGTCCTGAGATTACTATTATTACTATAATAAATCTTTTCAAATCAGCCGATGTTTATTTTTGCCATAATACGTGCTGTTACCATGTGATAATATTACGTACGTACTTATTAAACTATTAACTTATTATTAAATTATTAACTATTTATACTGTTTTAAATGTGATGCGTTCATTAATTATATTTCCTTTGAATTAAAGACAAATGTATCTATATATATATATTTATATACACTTGCACACTTAGTTGATCCAGCCACGATCCGTAGATATTGCTGATCCACTGTCTCTCTCTTTCTATCACTATCTTTGTATTCTAATATGCGATGTTGCCGTTCCGGCCGAGACCATGCGTTGTTGCCAAATGTATTCGTCGATAGTAGTAGATACTTATACTCGATATATATTTTTTCAACAATTTCCTGCAATAGTGAATCCGTATCGGCATTTTTTTTAAATGCACAAAGATTTTTTGGCTCTGAATATATTTAAAAATCATTTACTTGTGTGTTGATGAATTTATATACTAGTACATGAAGTACCTAATACTTGTTTTGATTTGAATAGGTAGCGATATTATGAATTTATTATACGTAATCTAAAGATTTTGACGAAATAAAAGTAATTAGTTATCTGTTAACCTTGACTTCATGCTGGCACCAGTATTATCAGATGATGAACATACTCTTCGAAAACTTACAGCAGAAATATCGTGTTTGGACTCATTAGATAGGTCTCGATGAATAGAGTTTAAAAAACTTAAAATAAATGGTACATTAGAAATAATGTATAAAAACCCCTTACGTAAAATTCAACCACTTTAAAATTAATAATAATAATAATTAGGAAAAGAGAAAAGCTATACATGCACTGAAAGTAATTGATGCCTTCCACACAATATTTTCAGTATTAAACAACTCTGTTTGTTCAGTAAAAGTGTAAATACACTGGTAACCTTTAATCATATTTTATATGCAAACATTACATATACAAACCCTAAAGTTTTATTTCAGAATGGCCAGTAGTTTTAAAGAAATAAGTCTTTGAAATTGTACGTGTAACTTATATATATACTAGTTTTTTCACCATAACAAACAACACCAATATGGCCTAGTTAGTAGTTTACCTGTGTACCATTTAATAATAATAGTAATCTCAGGACAATTCACACAGCTACATCTAGACCCAAGTTAAGCTAGCTGAAGATTATGTTATGGGTATTGATATAAATACAAAGATTTTTTTCGTAAATACATATATATTATCTATACATAGAAAACACCCAGACCGTTACAAACAATTTAATAATAAGTTAATAGTTTAATAAGTACGTACGTAATATTATCACATGGTAACAGCACGTATTATGGCAAAAATAAACATCGGCTGATTTGAAAAGATTTATTATAGTAATAATAGTAATCTCAGGACAATTCATACAGCTTCATCTAGACCAAAGTTAAGCTAGCTGAAGATTATGTTATGGGTACTGATATAAATACAAAGATTTTTTTTCGTAAATACATATATATTATCTATACATAGAAAACACCCAGACCGTTACAAACAATCATACTCATGAATACAAATGTTTGCAGCGTGCGAGGAATCGAACCCTCGACCACCAAGCAGGAATCAAAGCAGTGTGCTAGCTAAATCGCTAGACTACCGACAACTAGCTGTACACGCGACTTCGTCCGCGTGGAATTTAACTTCTTATATTTTAGAAAAATAAAGTTAAATTCAACACGGACGAAATCCCGTGTACAGCTAGTCATCAATAAAAAAACACGTAGGTATCTCTAATATATTATACACTAGCTGTTCCCGCGACTTCGTCCACGTGGTTTTTAACTTTATTTTTCTAAAATAAAAGTAGCCTAAGTTACTCCTTATTACATCAGCTACCTGCCAAAAAAAGTCCCGTCAAAATCGGTCCAGCCATTTCAGAGATTAGCCGGAACAAACAGACAGACAGACAAAAATTGTAAAATATGTTATTTTGGTGTATGTACCGTATTTATATTCATATGCAAGTAGTAAACAACGGTTATTTCAATATTACAAACAACAGGCTTCAACATCCTCAAGTACCACAAAAAAGATGTTTTTTCTATCAAATAAACAGTTTTTATTAAAAACAAGCTGTCCCCGCGACTTCGACCGCGTGGAATTAACTTTATTTTTCTAAAATAAAAGTAGCCTAAGTTACTCCTTATAAATCAGCTACCTGCCAAAAAAAAGTACCGTCAAAATCGGTCCAGCCATTTCAGAGATTAGCCGGAACAAACAGACCGACAGACAGACAGACAAAAATTATA